GTTACATGTTTAAAATTGCTTGGATTTTCTCAAGGTTTGCTTCAATGCCTCGCCAGGTGACAATATAACACAGAAATTTACCCAATGTGACATCAAGACACACTTGTTTAGGTTGAGCTTCAGGTTGTATTTTCCTAAGATGGTAAAAACCTCGATTAAATCAGAAATGAGAGAATTAGTTGACCTACTTTTTGCAACTATATTGTCAACATACACTTTTATTTTATTTCCAATTAAATAAAAAAAAATTGTTTACAAGACGTTGATAGGTCACCCCAGCATTTTTTAAGCCGAAGGGCATAACTTTATAATAGTATAGGCCAGTCTTGGTTACAATGGAGGTTTTTCTTGGTCTTCATGATCCGTCTGGATTTGGTTGTAGCCGGAGTAGGCATCCATGAATTTCAACAACTCGAACCCCGAGGTCACATCTACCAGACTGAACTGGCTTTTCGTTCAGATATCCTACAGACGGTGCCAACAAATGACGTACAAAATAGCATGCTTCCTTGCTGGAGGATAGCTTAGACGATGTGTGTTGAGGTCATCGTACCGATCTACAAAAGTTAGAGAGAATCAGAGTGTCCAGGGTTTTAGACCCAGGGTGAGCACTCCAATGCTTACGTCAGCTGAGCTAGTAGAATAGGAGAGCAAGAAAACAAGAGTTGTGTTTGCACTAAATTGTGCGTACCTAGGGATGGTAATTTCCCCCATAAAACCAGGGCCCCTCGCCACCCCACCTCGAACGGCACGGGTTTTCCCCGACCCTAAACAGGGATGGGGCGGGGACGGGGAAAATATTTTTTCCTTGAACCAGGGACGAGGCGGGGACATGTTTTGTATATAATTCCCCGAACCTGCCCCGAACCCGAAGGTAAATTAATAAAATATCTTTAGGTTTAATATTGATATTTAAAATATCTCTATATTTTTCCCTAAATTCTTAAAATCCTAGGATCCCATAATTCTATTTTTGAATTACCCCTAAAATATTATAATTCAATTCCTAAAATACCCTCAAATTCCTACATCCTATGTGTAAATTGTCCATAAAATAAATAATTTTTAAGTAGTTGCCTTGGAGCGAGGAAAATTTGGGGATTCCCCATCCTCGATGGGGAGTGGATGCCCCACCCCACCATTGGGGATGGGGCAAATTATCTTAACTATGGGACGGGGATGGGGAGGGGTGCCCCGCCCCAATCCTGCCCCGTTTACATTCCTATGCATACCTTGTAAAGGAGGGTCGAGTCCCTTTTATAAGCATCAAGGTCTAAGTTTCGTGTTTGAGATATTCGGGGACATCAGACCTTATCGGCCCGTTATCTTCGAGGTGCGTCTCTTCCACATTAGTGGGGATCCTCATCTAGTCTCTTCGAGTCATATGGAGACCGGGGTCATCCACACCAAGTAGGTGACATGCTACCACCTGACTCGGAACCGATAGGCGTGTTACTCTGGATAAGGTCAACCTGCAATGTAGGTCGTAAGGTCGGTACCCCAAAAGTTAGCTGGCTACTTGGGTTATTGGCTGCCTAGGTCGGATGAGTACAAATCGGAGGAACACAGCCTTTGAAGTCCTTGACTTTGCACCAGAGGTGGAAAGTGTTGTCATACTACAGGGTGGTTGGTTGTTCTCCTTAGGTTGGGATATGCATCCTATGTGGCATCGAGGTGTTGTTAGATGGTTCAGCATGCCACATGTCACTTTATGACAAGCTAACCAAATCACCATCCATCAAATGCCACGTGGAAGCAAGGTTTTAAAAGGCTAAAGGAATAGTTGAGGCATAATGGCCCAAAAAGATGAGGCATAAGCCTCAAGGTGTTATGAGGCATAGACCTTAAAACTTAATGAAAAAATTAATTAAAGTTTATAAATGATAAAATAACACGTAATATACAAAATTACAACGATGGAAGGCACAAATATCTAATGAAATAGAAGTTTACAATCAATAAGTTTTAACTTTTGAGCATTAAATAAAATAATGATATTTCATATAACAATTATAAGCATTTTACATTTTATGTTCCAAAATGCAATCTTATGAAATTCTCCATATCAACATTAGATTTATAGTCATCCAACAATTGGGAAGAAAAGAAGTAATTTAGTTGATTTGATTTATGCAAAAAAAATCAAAAAAGAAAAAAAGAAAAATGAATCCATTAGGAAAAGAAATGAGAAAAAATAACAAACTTGGGATGTTAAATTAGAATATTAAGAAAATCCACTTGATTATCCAAAGGAAAACTAATAACTTGATTAACCCTTTTTTGTATTGAATTCTCTTAGGCTAAAATACAAAGAGAAACTAATAGAACCAAATTTTACCTTTTGTTTTTAATTTTTATTCTTTTTATTTAGCCCATAATTGTTGAAGTGCTTTTTTCTATATATTTTGAACTATAAAATGCTTAAAAATATGTATTTATTTTGCATGAAATCACTAAATAATGTTGATACTTGAGGCTTATATATCTATATAGATAGATAGATAGATAGATAGATGGCCTTGTGTTATGCCTCATGCCTTGAGGCTTAAGGCTTACACCTCATTCTAACAAAGGCTTAAGCCTCAAACCAAAGTTGTGAGGCTTATGCCTTGAGGTAACCTTTTTAAAACAACGCGTGGAAGTAGACACATTAATGTATTCAATGACATATGGCATGCCATGCGGCATACAATATTGTTGACTTACCTTTAGGTGCCATGTGACATTCATCTATACTGCCACATGGCACCATATGTCATTAATCTAACATTTAGATGCCATGTGGCATCCGTATATATATGCCACATGACATGTAATATCATTGACTTACTTTCAAATGCCACATGACATTTATATATGATGCCATGTGACATCCACATATTATTGACTTACATTTAAATGTGATATAGCATTCATATATGATGTCATGTGGCATCCACATATTATTGACTTACATTCAAATTCCACATGGCCTACTATGTATAAAACATTTTGTTGTATCCAAACACCATCATTTACTTTTACATTGAAAAACATGTTTTTGAAAAATTTCCATCCAAACAATATTTTAAAGTAAAAACATGAAATCAAAAGCATACCACGTACTTTATACTTTGGTGTTATTGAAAGTATAAAGTAGAAAACCATTGAGCAAAGTTAGAGAAATAAAAGAAAAGGGAGAATATGGACTTATTAATCTAGGCGTGTCAAAGACACTATCCTTAAGTAAAACTTCGCCTCCTTTAGATCAAGTCCAGTGCATGTAGGTATATAGGCATCTTGCTCTAGGATTTAATAGCCTTGGTGACTCCAAGGAACTATGCTCTCGAAAATACTAGGTCACATGAACTGTAACAATCTTCCAACTCCGATGATGCAATGGAAAGAGAAAATGCCAAAAACAAGTGTAAAAAAGTAAGAGAGAAGAATATTCTTACTTGTGTTATATATATATATATATATTATCCCAAAGAAAAAATATTAAACAAAGAAAAGGCTCCTATGAAAAGTTACCAAATTTAAAATAAAAAACACTTTAATAAAGAAAAGGATCCAAATGAAAAGTTGATTACTTTGAAATAAAAAATCATTAATTTAAATAAAAAGACATGTTTAAAGGACAGTTTTAAATGAAGGGGCAATTCACTGAAAGGTCACTAATTTAAATTAAAATACATATTTGAAGAAACTCTAAATGAAAAGACACTTTTGATTGAAAATTGATTTAGAGTAAGAAAAGTGACTTCGCCATGAAAGGTCACTTAAAATTTGAATTTAAATTAAAAAATTTATTTAAAGGAATTTTGGATAAATTATACATATATTAGAATTTATAAGCATGTGAAAAATAAAAAGACAAAACTATCCCTTCAAAACTTTTGAATCATATACACAAAAGTTAAAACAAATGCAACACTAGTTAAGGTCCGTTTGGTTTGCGGTCAGAATCGGAATGGAAATCTTTTAGAATTGGAACCGGAATGGTCTATTCCCAAAGTCTGTTAGGTTCAAACAAGAATGAGAATGAGAATTGGAATCAATAAGAATGAGATTTCATTCCCAAAGGAGGGGTAGGGAATGACCATTCCCTCAAATGAGGGAATGCCATTCTGGCATGAATGGGAATAGGATTCTGATTCTGCCCAACCAAACGGTTGGAATTGGAATAGCCCATTCCGATTCCAGACCCCTATTCCTACTAACCAAATGGTGTCTTACTTTCCTCCATTGTACCTAGGTGCCAAGTCGAAATTGATGCTAATATACGGTGGGTACATTTTGAATTATTGTGGAATTTAGAATTTTGCGGTGGTTGCAGTGTACTTTTCCGTTTGCTTTTGCACCAACAACAGATGGGTTCCACTACACCTACCCCCACCCAACACATACGACTTAAAGTCTTAAACATGTACTCAGAGTCAAGTTTGTAAAAACCACATGGCAGTTCAGGTAACCTTTATTGCCGTTTAGTGCGAGAGGAGTCTCCTCCCACCAACTACGCTCACCCACTCTTTCCACTCCCCACCAATTTAGTGCAAGGGGTATTTTCGTTTTTTACTACTTAGCATACCACCTTCAAATGACCAAATTACCTTTAAAATTTAAAAATCAAAAATGAAATTGTCCCATGGGTGGTGAGTCACCCATCCTCCAAAGGACACACCAGCTCTAACATGCTCGTTCTGCACTTTTATTAGCCACGTGTCATCCATGAATCACCTGCTGATGATCACTCGATTTCCATGAATTTGACATTCCCAGCATCAAATGGCTAAAAGACAAACTCCGCAAAAAAACGAGGTGAAATGCCAGCCTCTCAGATTTTCAGATCGCAATCATTTTTTGCTACGACGTGGTTTTAGCGCAGCGCTAAAACTCAAAATCAAAGCCTTCGATTTGATAATATGGCCCCACCTTGGATTGGATGAAAGGCCATGATTCATAGTTTTACGTCGTAGCAACTAGCAAAAGTAAGCTCTTTCAGATCTACTTTGCCTATAAATAAGTGGACATCACTCTCACCTCCCGCGCCCATCTCCTCTTCATCTCTCTTCCTTCTTCTGCCTTTTCCCGAATCAGTCTTGATCCCCAGTTCAAACTCCGCAAAGGTACGGTTCGTCTTCACTGTAGATCTGTTCGGTTTCTGCTTATTTATTTGCTTCGATCTCCGTTTAGTCGTTCTTTTGCGTCTTATTTCGATTCCCCCGAGCTGCACTCTACTGTTTAGTGTGATAGAGATCTGTGTTTTCTTCAACAGATCTGACTGATAGGTTTTTGTGTGTTTTTTTATTATATTTCTTCGATTTTTAGAAATAATTTTGATTTGTCGGTGTGAATGCATTGGTTTCATTGATGTTTTATTTCTTCTCTTGCTGATTTCATACGTTTTTGTGAAATTTTTGAATCTTAAGAGTGGATATTAGCTTTTCACGTGGAGTTATTTGGATTTGTTTCGTGCCTGTTCTGTTTGAGCTTGTGATTCAGTATTCTATTTTGGATATATTTTCTAGTTTATTGCCTGTGAGTTTGAGATCTAGTGAATTATAGTAGATGGGTAAGTAGATCTAGTAATGGAGTCTGTAGATCTGATATTGAGCCAGCTTTGGATTGTTGTTTTAATTAAATATATTGAAAGGCGGAATGTTTCGGCATTTAAACGTTCTGAGCGTTCCTGTGGTTTTCAGATCCTTTAACTTGTTTGCTTTCCAAATGAGATCTGCGCATTCCATTAACTGAACTGGCTTGCAGATGTCATGTGTTTGCTTAATTTGATTACCGATACATTTGATCTACAATGTTTCATGTCTTCTGTAGATCTATGTGAAGCTGTTCCATATTGTCCCTCGATTCTTATCCAATGCATATTGTTTTGCTTTCACCCTGTCATCATAATACTAGTACTGATTCTGCTCAACTGCCATGTAGAACTTGGTTTCAATTTGAATGTAACTCAGTTGTTTTGCTTATGCAACCACTTGCAATCTGCTTCCTTTCGATTTCAAAATCATACGTTTCATTCCCATTGCACTCTCGTTGAAATCCGAAGCAAGCTTTTAAGATGTTTTTATAGATTAAAGACACACACCACTATGGTTTTGTAGTGAAGCATTTAGGCATCATGTTTTCATACTAGCTACTAAGTGTGTACGTGCTTTGCATGTGGCAATTCTATTATGATAATGATTGTAATAATATATCCAAATTTTTTATAGCATTCATATATTATATATATATATATATATATATATACATTATTAACCGGATGTAGATTGCAAAATCCGAATCCGATTATGTAAACACCTTATATTGGGATGTGAAGTTTTGGGTATCATTGACTGGCCTACTTGCTTGGTTGGACACCTTTTTTTTGTAATGTTTTATCTTCTTAGTGTATCTTTTCTTGTTCATTTATGAAAATAATGTAAGATTCAAAGAGAGAAAATTGAATGAGGTGAAAAATAGTAGTTTAAATTACATTTTAAACCTCATAATTAAATAGGAATTAAATTCAAAAAAATTGGTATTTTATTCAAAAGAAAGTTTCACAATCTTATTCATATTTTTAGTATTAGTGTAAATATAGAATTATAGATGTGTTCAATTTTTCTATATTTTTTTTATTTGTATGTGTGTAAAAATAATTTTGTTATGTACATTTATTTTTTGTTTAATATGATAAATATATGATATTATACATGTGCCCAATTTTTTTGTAAAATTTATGTATTTTTTTATTTTTTGTGTTTTTATATTTTGTTAATTTTTATTATTTAGTTATGACATCAAAGATTGACAATTTGATCCAAAAGTTGAACTATTGATCTCCGCCAAACAGGAAAATAACTTCAATTTTGGTTAATTTTAGATTATCTATTTCATTTTCATCATTAATAAAAATAACTTTTGTTTATTACACTTATTTTTCGATTTGATAAATAAAAATATAAAAAATGTGTTTAATTATTTCTACATTTTTGAAACTTTCTATATTTATTTCTATTTAAACATTTTATTATCCGACTATAACTTCATGGGTTGATCAATTTGATTCGGATGGTTGAATTGCTTGGTCATCACTTGGATAAAAAATTATTTTGTTTTTAAGTAAGTTTTAAAATATACGAGTTTATATTGTTAATAGTTTTAGACATAGATCTAATTAGTAACATTTATTAGTGAAAATTTAACTTAAAAGTAGGATTTAATAAGAGGAAATCAGAGAATGAGAGTTAATACCTTAAATATAAGACTTAATGAGAAGAGATTAAATGATGTGAAAAGCATTAATTGAAATACATTTTCAAACCCTTTTAATTAGAGATTGAATAAATACACAAATATGGGCATTTTTACCAAGAAAAGTTCTACATCCTGATTCGTGCTTTTTATAATAGTATAGATATAGATAATATTTATTTTTTTCACTTATCTATTTGTTTTGGCTCGTTAAATTTATTACTTCAATTTTCATTTATGGGAGATTCTGATTTTGTTTTATTTTTCTCTCTCTCTTTAACCAGCATAATGGCCTCCCACATTGTTGGATACCCCCGCATGGGGCCAAAGAGGGAGCTCAAGTTTGCTTTAGAATCCTTCTGGGATGGGAAGAGCAGTGCTGAGGACTTGCAGAAGGTGGCTGCTGATCTCAGGGCATCCATCTGGAAACAGATGGCTGATGCTGGTATCAAGCATATCCCTAGCAATACCTTCTCTTACTATGATCAGATGCTTGACACAACAGCAATGCTTGGAGCTGTTCCTGACAGATACAATTGGACTGGTGGTGAGATTGGTTTTGACACTTACTTCTCCATGGCCAGAGGGAATGCCTCTGTACCTGCTATGGAAATGACCAAATGGTTTGACACCAACTAGTAAGTGACTGACTCCTCATGGTTCATATCTCTAAAAGCATATATAAATTGTGCCGGCAGTATGTTGAGTTGTCACTAAAATATGTTTTCTTTTTAATACAGTCACTTCATTGTTCCTGAACTAGGACCCAACACGAAGTTCTCTTATGCTTCTCACAAGGCAGTAAACGAATACAAAGAAGCCAAGGAGGTATGCATGCTAATAGGTTTTTACTGCTGCATTTGGTTGTATTTGTATTTGTTAAGTTTCCATTAACACCATGGATCTTTATTCCACTGCATGCCATTTAATATTGGACTTCAATAAGGACAATAGGTTAGGGTATTGCTGTAAAATGGATAACTTGCAAGGATGATTCGTGCATTACCTTTTTTCATACAATTGAACCTGTCTAGATATGGTTACATAGTGAAGGTTGGTGGAGTGGACCTCTCACCCAACGTCTCCCTAGAAAAAGTACAATGAGATAGTACTATACCCTTTCTGAACATGTGTGGTATAGGTGATTTTATGTATTTATTCACTTTTTTTTTTTATTTATTTTCCCATGTAGGTTGGCCTTACAACTACAATGGCCTTTTGGTGATAACTTTCTGTTCCCCAGGACTTCTGCCTGTTTTATTTATTGTTCTCACTCATGCAACAAGGCAGTTTTAGATTGAAATTTATACTAGATTGGATCTATTTTCATTATAGAGCTCCTAGACAGGACCTGCTGAACTGAAGTTACCACTTAGGTATCTGATTCTTGTATGTTGTTGGTGTTGGGGGCTACAATTTCTGTACATATAGTTGTTAATCTGATTTTCAATGCCTTTATCAACTAAGTTTCTATTTTCGTCTCTCTTGTGCAGCTTGGAGTCAATACTGTTCCAGTCATTATAGGTCCTGTCTCCTACTTGTTGCTATCAAAACCAGCCAAGGGTGTCGAGAAGTCATTCTCTCTTCTTTCTCTTCTTGAAAAGATCCTTCCAGTCTACAAGTAAGGACTGGAACTTGTCAATGGATGGCATTGCTTTTCTTTTAATCTTGGTGGTTCTTTTCAATTGATGATGCCAATGAACTGTATATTGAGCAGGGAAGTGGTGGCTGAACTGAAGGCAGCTGGTTCTTCCTGGATTCAATTTGATGAGCCCACCCTTGTTTTGGATCTTCATTCTCACCAATTGGAGGCATTTACTTATGCCTACTCTGAGCTAGAATCATCTCTTTCTGGCCTTAATGTTCTCATTGAGACCTACTTTGCTGATGTTCCTGCTGAAGCATACAAAACCCTCACTTCTTTGAAGGGTGTTACTGGATTTGGGTTTGACTTCGTTCGTGGACCTCAGACCATTGACTTGATCAAGGGTGGGTTCCCTTCAGGCAAATTTCTCTTTGCTGGAGTAGTTGATGGAAGGAACATTTGGGCTAATGATCTTGCTTCTTCTCTGAATACCTTGGGGGCTCTTGAGGGTATAGTGGGCAAAGGTATTTATCCTGAATCTCTTTACCTGTTGGAATGAAAATTTTAAATTCAGCAGACTAATTCACATTGTCATTTTCTTCTGCAGACAAACTTGTGGTTTCTACTTCCTGCTCACTTCTCCACACTGCTGTTGACCTTGCAAATGAGACCAAATTGGACAAGGAACTTAAGTCATGGCTAGCATTTGCTGCACAAAAAGTTGTTGAAGTCAATGCCTTGGCCAAGGCACTGGCTGGTCAAAAGGATGAGGTGCACCCTTGTAGCCCTTTGGTGGAATATGTTGTGGTCACATGGTTGAACGCATAGACTGTTGTTTTACTATTATTTCTTGTGTTGTCTTTAGGAATTCTTTTCTGCTAATGCCGCTGCTCAGGCTTCTAGAAAATCATCTCCAAGAGTGACCAATGAGGCTGTTCAAAAGGCTGTAAGTGCTTTTAGGAATTTTCTACTCATCATAGTTCTGGTTTTCATTGAATTCTTGAACTTGGTAAATTATATTTTTATCTTTTCTCGCTTAGGCTGCTGCTTTGAAGGGCTCTGAGCACCGCAGGGCTACAAATGTTAGTGCTAGATTGGATGCTCAGCAGAAGAAGCTGAACCTTCCAGTACTCCCGACTACTACCATTGGGTCTTTCCCCCAGACAGTGGAACTTAGAAGAGTCCGCCGTGAATACAAGGCTAACAAGTAAGTGGAAGTTTCTTGGTTACCATCATTTTAATAGTGATTTTGATTTTCTGAATGCTCTTCTAATTTCTCTTCTTGATACCTCCTTCAGAATCTCAGAGGATGATTATGTTAAGGCCATCAAAGAGGAAATCAGCAAGGTTGTCAAACTCCAGGAAGAGCTTGACATTGATGTATTGGTACACGGAGAGCCTGAGGTGAGCTTTTTTAGTATCTGCTGAGCTTATGCAACAAGAGCAGTTTATCCAAGTTCTAAGTTGTGTACTGAACAAACAACTGGCTTGGGTTACATGTTTTATCCCCTTCCCAACTCATTTATTTACATGGCCTGAGTACAGAGAAACGACATGGTTGAGTACTTCGGTGAGCAGTTGTCTGGCTTTGCCTTCACTGTCAATGGGTGGGTGCAATCTTACGGGTCCCGTTGTGTCAAGCCACCCATTATTTACGGTGATGTAAGCCGCCCCAAGGCAATGACTGTTTTCTGGTCCTCTTTGGCTCAGAGCATGACTTCCCGCCCAATGAAGGGAATGCTGACTGGTCCTGTTACAATTCTCAACTGGTCTTTTGTTAGAAATGACCAGCCCAGGTAAGAGAAAGAAACCAACTTCTCCGGAATTGTTTAATTTTTTTGGATTTCTTTACAAGGACTTAATCTGAAATTCAGATTCGAGACTTGTTACCAAATTGCTTTGGCCATCAAAGATGAAGTTGAGGATCTTGAGAAAGCTGCTGTCACTGTCATCCAAATTGATGAGGCTGCCTTGAGAGAAGGTTTGCCTCTCAGGAAGTCTGAGCAAGCTTTCTACCTGGACTGGGCTGTCCACTCCTTCCGTATCACCAACTGCGGCGTCCAAGACACTACCCAGGTTCTTCCGTCATTCCTACTATTTTCTTTGTCTAGGTTGCTGGTATTTTTGTTTTCAATCGATAGTTAAAAGCTTAATTCTGCTATTTATTCACAGATCCACACGCACATGTGCTACTCCAACTTCAACGATATCATCCACTCTATCATTGACATGGACGCTGATGTTATCACCATTGAGAACTCCCGATCTGACGAGAAGCTCCTCTCGGTCTTCCGTGAGGGTGTCAAGTACGGCGCTGGCATTGGCCCTGGTGTCTATGATATCCACTCCCCCAGGATCCCGTCTACAGAAGAGATTGCAGACCGCATCAACAAGATGCTTGCAGTTCTTGAGACCAACATTCTCTGGGTCAACCCTGATTGTGGGCTCAAGACGCGCAAGTACTCTGAGGTCAAGCCTGCACTCAGCAACATGGTTTCTGCCGCCAAGCTCCTTCGTACCCAGTTGGCTAGTGCCAAGTGAAGGGGAGGAGTTAACTGTCTACACAAGTGCCTCCATACTAAAAGGGGAAATAACTTTTGGCTTTGTTTTGAGAATGGTGTGAATGTACTACATTAGGGATACGCTCTTTGGAGCATCTTAGGCTTAGGTCAGCCCCATGGGCACTTTTTCTTTTGTAATTTTTTCAATATGCTTTGTGTTGAGGCTTTTTGTTCTATGCTTCTATCAAGTATCAACATCATTGAAGAGGCAAGTAAGGGCAATTAGGTGCTTTCTTGTGTTCCTTATCGCATTGAAATCTAAGAACAGCCATATGGCTATTCCGTAGCGCATTCGCTACTCTTCTGTAACTCTTTAATGGTACCAAAAGAAATATATCTTAGCACTATGAATGCAAGTACAACTATAATCTACAAGTACAAACCAAGTTCACAATTGAGAGAACGAAAAGAAAGTGACCACAAAGCTAAAACAAAAAAATCAAGGTGTTTGGTTTATTGTTGTGGCCTACCAAGATGTCAGTTCATTTTACTCCATGTGGGGTCAATCAAAAGACTATGATTTTGTTGTTTTAGTGCAGTGTTACGACCAAGGTTCAAGTACCGACACAGGCTGGCCTGTATCAGTATTTATTTTATGTTTTATTTATTTATTTTTACAAAATTGGTCAAAGGGGATGATTTAAGCCCCGATTAGACCTGATACAATCCCTGTAGGGGTGTATCGGGAAGCTACCGACACGATACGTATTGGGAAGTTATTAATTACTAACTTTTAAATAATTAGTAATTATTTATATTCTATATACTATTAATAATTTTTTATAATATAAAAATAACAATAAACTGATCAAATTGACCCAAGTTGGTTAGTTTTTTAGTATTTCCAATTGGCTTTTGTTTAACAATTTTCCAACTTGACCAGGTTGGGTCAGTTTCAGTTTGGCCATTTGTAATCGACAAAAACAAATTGACCCAACCATGTATATATATTTTGTATTTTAAATAATTTTTTTAATACAAGAAAGTTGAAAATTTCCCATATTTCATTGTCTAAAATATTTTATATCATAAAATTAATTTTTTAATTTATTTTTAATAATATCATTGTCATTTTTAAACCTAAATTTAAATTTTAAATTTAATTTTTAAGTTTAAATCTTTTGAACCGATTGACCAAAATGAAACTCGGTCCAAATTGATACAACCTGAGTTGTCCAGTTTTCACTAATGGTCAGTTAGTTTCAGGTAACTAACTGAAATACAAAATTACTGAAAATAAATTTATAATAAAAATACAATAAATAACTAATAAAAAACAATAAATACTGAAAATATATTAAATTAGTCAATAAGTAGTGTAATCCCAAATAATAGTTTAATATTTAATAAATATTAATCAATAAATTATAACAAAAATACATAACTACTAAAAATAAATTTATAACAAAAATACAATAAGTATAATAAACTAAACTTAAAAAGTTAAATAATAGTAGTTCAATCTCCAGTAATTGTTGAAAATTTTCTATTAAATAACCAAACAAAAATAGATTTTATGTTTTTTTAGTTTATATATTTTATTTTAGTTTTATTAGATTCTTGATTTTTAATTATTTTTTATTTTATTTTATTATTTTACGTGAGCCCCACAAGGGACATGTAAGCAAACAAAACTGAGGTGGATGACACCCTAACTGACTAGGCTAACATATGGAGAGGCATGAGGGAAGGGTTTGACGACTAAACTTAATGGCTCCAACAAGTTTCTTAAGTTGGTGGCTAGTTTTGAAACTTCAACGTGACTCATAGGTCCTTAGGGTTTGTTCATTTCCTCTTAACTCTCATCTTTTAAGAGGAATCTTTTAACTTTAAGAGAAAAATTGTTGTTCGTTTCCTCTTATCCCTTATCTCTTAAAGTGTAATAATACAATTTTTTGTTTTCCAATGATACCCCCAAAAAGACAAACAAAAACCCTTATATATGGGGTAAAAATGGATATTTGATAATTTTTAGAATTTAGAACAACATTCTCTGCATACAGAGTTCAGAGGAAAGAAAAGTTCACCAATACCAATATACATTGGAGCAAACAAACATGCCCTTAGATTTTGTAAATTAGGCTTCCATTCTTCTATAGGATGATAGGATGCTAAATCTAATGTCGGATGATGTATGCAAAGTGTGAGTGAGCAAATAAGCAATAACAGAAACAAAGGAGTAAACAATCATCCAATAATCATTAGAAATAAGCAATTATTATCATAAACAAAGAAATGACATAAAAAGCACATCTATGTATAGAGAAAAGCAATCAAGACCAAGAGGTCACATGTGGACCCGACCTATGGTCCACGAACTCCTTAATGGAATCGCAAATCTGTGAGCATTGGAATGTGACTCACTTAGTCTAATTTGGAGTATCCACCCACCAAATAAGTGAAATGGAGGTGATGGGACTTGTTGATTTACATAGGTAACAAAAACCTTACGAAATTAGGGTATATTTGCCGTAAAGAAAAGCATTAAAAGCAACTATAATGTGAAAGCTAATTACTTTTGGAAAAACGATCCCTCCTAGGTATCAAAAACCTTACGGAATCAAGGTGTACTTACACAAGTCTATAAGGGTTCGGCCTTAACTCTAGAAGAGGTTAGGTCGAACTCATTGCTCAGGGCAGTGAACCCTTAACCCAATTAACTTGGGCTCAATTTAGGCCCAACATTTACACCTGAATGATCATTGAATTCAGCCACCTATGAAGACCCAAGGATAATGGACTTATGTAAGATAAAGCCTATTAGGTAATCAACCCTATAATGGTTTCTTACACCTAACCTCTTGGCTCATAATCATCAAAACACTGCCCATAAGAAATGACCTCTTTCCTTACTACAAAACACAATGTCACACTCTCTGCTTGGATGGATCTTGAGATCAAAACCTTTTGCAAACCTTTATTTTTCATAAAATTGTAATATAGCATATAAATATATTTTGCAAATCAGATTTCAAATACAATTGAAATCTATTGCCGACAATTTAGGTTTCTATAAGAGAATGCAAAGCCTGATATTCACTTTGTTTGATAAAGGGGTTAATACTATCATTATGATCACCCACTCAAGTAATTTTTTGAAGTGGCCCAACATGCTCAAGTATTTAACTCTTGACGAATCTCACTAGTTGGCACATCAAAGATAGAGTAGTCCAATACCTAGTGCAATATCATAATAAAGTTTGGGGTCAAGTGTAACTTTCTAGTTTTGCCCATTTATCTTTAAGGTTTAGGGCATAACTGAAAATTGGTCCGGGTTTAGTTTTTCTTCTAAACACCCACTAGCTATGCTTGGGGTCTAACCCTAATAGCTAAAACAAGCTGCTCCACCAATTTGGTAGCACATTAGTGTTAGCCTTGTGAGGATAAACTCCCCAAGTCTATCCAATGGTTGAGAACATTCTAAACTAACACAAGTCTCATAAGTGTCCAGTTTAAGGAGTAATTCGCAAAAACATACCAATTTAACATAAAACAATAATGCACTTTATTTGTTTACTGATAAATGTTTGTGTACATCAATCTGATTGGAGTAAAGGGCATATGCTATTTAATAATGACTCCATCTTGAATTTTGGTGCCTAACAAAATCATGTCTCAGACTTATGTCTGTACTTACCATTGTAGGTATCACTATAGGTTCTTGATAGAGTTGTTTCACTATCACAATAGATGAAAATTGAAGGCATAGGACTAGACCAAAGTTTTATATCCAATAATAAATTCCTAATCCATTCAACCACTTTCCAATAGTTGTTAAGGCTATGAATTCAAATTCTATGGTCAAGTGAGATATACAAGTTTGTCTCTTGGATGCCCAACCAATCACACCCCCATCAAGGACGAAAATCCATGCAAGGGTGGACTTGTTATTTCCATTATCGGTAATCAAACTCGCATTAGTATACCCTTCTAGCATAGCTGGATAATCGCAATAGAATATGCCAAGTTCCAAGAACTTTCCCAATTTCCTTCCAATGCTTTGCACCAGGATTACTTGTAAACCGACTAAGTTTACTTACTACATATGTGATATTAGGTCTAGTACAAAGCATAGCATACATCATACTTCCTACTGCACTAGTATACTCAAGTTGTGCAATTGTTCTACTAGAATTTTCTACTAGCTTTATACTAGATCCATATGGTGTGCTATATTCTTTAAATCCTAAATGCTTAAATTTCTCAAGTATTCTCTTAATATAATGTGATTAACTTAATGCATAATCCCCTACTATGCTTTTCAACTTTTATTCCTAAGATAGTACCTACTTCTTCTAAATATTTCATTTTGAAGTCAGAGGATAAGTAGTTCTTCTAAATATTTCATCTTGAAGTCAGAGGATAAGTAGTTTTTCGTTTCATTTATGCCAACCAAATTAGTACCCACAATAAGCATGTCATCAACATAAAGACATATAACCACACCATAATTTTCAGAAAACTTTGAGTAAATGCATCTATCGGCATTATTGTGCTTAAATCCAAAAGCTAGAATGTAGGAGTCAAATTTCTCATGCCATTGTTTGGGTGCTTGTTTTAAACCATACAATGACTTAACTAATTTATAAACTTTATTCTCATTTTTAAGAAGGACAAATCCCTATAGTTGTTCCATGTAGACTTCTTCATTTAAATCACCATTTAAGAAAACAATTTTAACATTCATTTGATGAACAAATAAGCGATAAATGGATGCTAGTGTTCTAATAGAAGTTGTTCTAGCCATTGGTGCATATGTGTCAAATTAGTCAATCCCTTTCTTTTGATTGAATCATTTGGCTACCAATCTAGTCTTAAATGTTTTACAGTTCCATCAATGTTGTATTTTTTTCTAGACATCCATTTACATTTGATTGATTTTGATTCCAAAGGCAAATTTACTAAGACCCATGTATTATTTGACATTATCAAATCCATTTCTTCATTTATAACTTCCTTCCAAAAGATAGAATCTCTAGAGGTTAAGGCCTCATTATAGGTTTTTGGATAGTTTTCAATGTTTAATACAATGAGTATCTTATTTAAAACTTTTTCTCTATCAGTCTCAACCAAGACATAATTGACTAAGTAGAGATAAATCAGAACCTAGGTGTTTTTCTTTTTATTTTTTGTCTTTGACTTCTTCTAGGTTCTACTATAGGTATTATAGTTGTGTCATTTCTTCTTTTAGTCTCATTATTACCAATAGGTACTAAGATCTGAGATTCTCGCTCTAATCTCTATCATTTTATGTGGATTCAAAACATAGTTTATTTTTAAAGAATTCAACATCTCTATTTTCAATTATTATGTTGGACTCGAAATCTAGAAGCCTATAGGCCTTGCT